TACTAGGCATCCTTTCCCCCCCCCCAAATGCATAGTTTCCTTTCACACTACCTAAGCCTTGGTATAATGAGGCCAGTATTCCGTCACCTGCAAATCTTCACATAAGTTTTTCCTGAGGAGAAGGAAAAGCAGTAGACTTATCCCAATTCAAAGATTTCAGTTACAAGGGCAGAGCCTACACAGTCATTTCATATGGAACGTGTCAATATTGTGGCTGAGCACACATGAATGAAATAGCTTAAGACTGTTGGAAAGAGTAAAAGATGATAAAACCTACAAGCAAAGTTGTTTATTGTCTTATCCCTTACCAAAAAAAGGAGTGAACACACCCACAGTGTCCCAAGAAGCCTACTTCTCTCTGGAAAAATAGACAACCAGAAAATAAAATCAGCCTGCCATTGTATCAGTTGAAAAAGAATATGGTTTTATAAAGGTGGGGAAACAGCAATTCAATCCTACTGGTGGTTTTTTAACTCAACAATGGTTTTCCAAGGGCAAAGCAACACGGTATCATATAGCCTAAACCAGATTAATAATTTATAGCTTACTGATACACCAATTACACCTAAAGAAGTGAGGCATTGCAATCAGGATTCACACAATCTGTTCAAGTTGGCATGAAACAGCTGCCAGAGGACACAAACCCTCCTGCCCGACTCACCCCGCGGTCCTCTTCTCCTCAGTAGACGTGTTGTGACCTATGCACAAAAGCTGATCGTATCAGAAGTAGCCATTTCTTTTGCTAAATCCAGGCAATTTCCCTAACCCAACTCAGATGGAATTGTACCACATTAATTAAATCAGATACAGCTGGAAAATGCCTGAATACCAAAGCTCTGACTGAGAAGAGACACAGGCACCTAGCACTTCATCAAAGATTCTATGCTTGAGACTTCATTAACACAGATCCCCTCTTTTACTTTGTTTAGAGCTGACTTTAAATCCCCGGGGGCTTAATCAAGTGATACCTAGCACAGTTGAAGACACTCGATGATGTGGATGAAGTAACTTTGGAGCTTAAGTATAGCATAACAGGTTCAGACAAATAAACAGAATTATTCCCCTCCAGACACACAAGGGGAATGAGAAAAGCAATGGTTCAAAGTCACGGAGAGACCCGTTATTCTGCCCACGGAAGATGACACAGCTTCTTTTTGTTGAGATGGTATCCCAACAACCGTATCTGGATTTGGCTGGGAGGTACCGTGCTTCACTAACCAGTGAAAAATTCTTTTGTTTTTTAACCTGTTTCTTTAACGGCAGCTTAAATTAAAACAAACAAACAAAAAAACCCCACGCAAAACCATGCAAAATCACTGTTCAGTTGGCTTGAATGCCGCACAGAAGTCTAGCTTCAGCGACAACGTAACCTGCACACTGAGGAAGACTGCCTGAAGTCAACTACTTGAAAACCTAAATACTGTGTTTTCACCTTTATGAGGCAAAGACTGTGGCAAACTGAACACCCGATGATATTAATTCAGGAAAGGAAGCTCCAACAAGCACACAGAACGCACAGAACAGAAAGATGTGTTGAAAAAGCTTAAACAGGCTTTGTTTAAAGGAAAACACGGGCTCCACATCTAATGCCCCTCTAAGTCGAAAACTGCTTTCTCCGCTTCATTCGCCTTCAGCTCGCTGGAGTTCATCACAGATTCTCAAGGAGACATCCTTCATTACAATCTCCAATAATTAAAGCACGTCCCTTCACATCTCCCAGGTGTTCCCAGTCAGGTTTGCTACAGGTTTTAAGGGTTTCAGCCCATCTGACGCTTTTGTAGGTTTTTGTTTTACTAGACAAAAGCCATCTCGGTTTGCCCCACTGCCAGTCCTGAATATGTCTTTTTTTGGGTTCACTTTACAATAGGTGTATTTGCCCAACAAGGCTTCTACAGCTGAACCTTCTAAGACCTACCATTGGACCTACTAAGGCAGAAATTTCTACCACACTGGAGCTTTCAGACTTGCAAACAAACTGCCAACATAACACTAACTTTGACACTGGTCAACAACCCGCGTAACAAGACCTTTTTCAAGGTTTCACTCCTTCTCTAAAGACTTAAAAATGGAAAAAAATATCAACATCACTCAATCTATCATCCACCCTGCATGACAACAGCCTGGTGCCCAGATGTTGTAAGCAGTCATGAAAGCTTTATACTCCTCCTTTAGTAAATCAGGGCACTTTACCTACCTTCTTTTAAAGCCAGCAGAAAATCTCCCATTATATCTGTCACCGAATTTCTACAGTTTCTTCCCTCCGCTCCTGCCTCACCACTGGAACAACCTGCCACTGACCTATCCATGAGCTGATTCCTGTTTCCCCATCACCTGCAGGCAGAAGCTGAGCTCCGGTGATACGAAATGTGACTTCATGAGGATCAGTGGAGTATCCTTAGGCTTTCCTGTTTATCAAAGACATGCCTAGTGATCCAACCTAAAAACATACCCTGACTGCAGGCATTTGTTTTTATGGTGAAGTATACCCACGTAAAAAGCACCATCTTTTCCTCCTTTCAAGCAGAGGGTGCAAGCGCTCACCTATGGAACTGGGAATTTTGAGTTTCACAGCGTTAAGGCTATCCTACTGCAGTTCGTGTTATACACCCTCTGTCACACCAAATTATTTCACAGAAGGTGAAGATACCTTCACAGTTAAGCCCTATCAGAGACCCTGACACGAAGTTTACAAAGCCCTCAGAGAGACAGAAACATCTACGCCACTGCAGCAGGTTCCTCCCAGAGAATTTCATTTACACAGTGCAGACACACCGGCTCCGGGGCACCTCTGGCACAGAAGACGACCCGACCTGAAGTTTTGCTCTTCTCGGGGGAAGAGTCAAGGAGTCTGCTAATGCCCATTCCACATGATCCTGTGAAAGATGGCTAACTTCCACAAAGTCTGAAGGTACAGCCTAAACTGGCTATTGACTTATTCCAGTGAGATTGTTGTGCCATTAAATAACATGCCTCAACCCTAGAACATCACTCGGAACACAGAAATTCAAGCAACTCAAAAATGCAGAGGATTTAACAAAAATGTTAAGATCAAGTTACTAAAATATCACACTGGAAGTTGAAAAGTCTGAATCATTTAAAAAAACTAAGTTTATTTTGCCAACTTAAAAAAAAATATCCAGGATCACTACAGTGACTACCAGATGGTTCAGGTGAACAAGAGTCAAAAACTTGTCTGGTTCCTACTGTGGTGCTATTTTGTACAACGCATGAACTGATCTTGTCATGATCACCATGACAAAGATCCCTCCACTTGAAAAAGAAGGGGGGGAAAAAAAAAAATCAAGTTTTGGGGGCAAAAGTTGCAGTAAAATCTTTATAAACATTTACAGAGGCAGCCATTGTTTTTAAAGTTTCTTGGTAAGTCACTCCTGTTTCCATCATGTTTTTCAGCATTCCAAACTTCTCATCCTGGACAAGGGTGACCCTTAGGTTCTTAGTATTAGTGTTCCTTGTAACAGAAGTCTAAAACCTCACAGCCAGCAGACGAGTACTGATTGACCACTTTCCCTATAAACAGTAAGTCTGTCTTCAGACGTGCTGGGAACAGGTTTCCCACCGAAGCTCTATTGTTCGCATATCTTCTACCAACCCTCTCCTCCATTTATTTCTGTGCACGCCTTGCAGATAGCAGGAGCTGAACTGATTGTGTAGGGTGACTGCGCAGGGTGACTGAAATGCGGGCAGCCGACAGGGACTCGTGGGAAATGGGAACAAAAGACAGTGAGCATGTCTGGGTTTTTTCCTTTTCCCTCCCATTCCCTCCAACTCCAATTTTAAGTAGAACTTGAACTTTCCGAAAATAAGGAAAGCCCATGCAATGCGTTCATCATGCAAGCACGGTACCTACGCCACGCCATGGAACTGTTCCTGTAAAGTAAAAACAAACAGCTCAAGATGAGCTCTACACGGGATGAGAATTATAAAAAAACATTCAGACTGAATGAGAACTGAGTTCATGAACACAAGAAAAGTTTGGAGCACCAAAAAAAGTTATGTCCCTCCACCAAAAGTAGTTTGTCACAGGACCTTCTCATTCGGTGGGACACAGACTACATCAATCTCGAATCGCTTTTGATCTTCAAGACTACAAATAATCTGAAAGAACCCAACAGACCTTTCTGTCTGCAGGTCATCTGAAAAAAACGCATGGGAAATGTATGAGCAAGCAACTAGAGCTGCCCCTTGGTAGCGCCACTGATTGTTGCACTAATCACAACGTAAGAACGTGGAAAAGGTTAAGTCCCAAACCTTCGAATCGTAAACCAGGAACAAATAGCTCAAGAAAAGCAGAAAATGGGAAAACAGGGAACAAAATGCAAGTCATAGTAAAATTAAAAAATCAAAGTGGTCTAAATGGAGGAGCATTTTTCAGAATACTAAGACTAATTTTAACTGCAAAACACTCAATAAATACTAGTAAACCAGATTTTTTTTTTTGTTATACAAAAATCAAGGTTTACCTGAGGTTTCCAGGGATTGGGGAAGAAAAAGGAGAAAGCCTCTTAATTAGTATTTCAGTCTACACACAAAATAATCGATCCACCACAGAAGTTGTCAAAGTTTAAGACACAGAAGGGAGAAAGTGGGAGCAAGAAAGAGAAAGGGTGTGAGACGGGCAATCCCTATCTTCCAGAACAAGGAGGAAACCATATGTTGAAGAAAGCTCTAACTATTGGAAAGTCACGCACCAAATAACGTACATTCGCCAGGCTCATGACTTACACCCTGCATGGGATCAACATCCATAAGAATGACAATCTTTCACAAGTCTCGTTTTGTGAGCTGGAGGGTGGTTACCTACGGATTACTTCCTCAGAAACGTGAAGGCTGTAAAAATCAACCAACACACAAGAGGAGGAAAACCACCGGTCCTTAAACTTTGGGCTGAAACCAAGCAGCAGTTACAACGGCTCAAAAAACGTGGGTGGTGAAGACACACAAATATGACCACGGGAAAAACTTTCCCCAAGGCTCAGTACCTGAGAGCGTACTGCTTCCCTTTGTAAGGCTGATTTTGAAGACGCGTGCGACATTCGCGAGGGTCAAGTGACCACACGTTATTGTTTGTACAGTGCCGCAGGCATGTGGACGGTTTGACGTGATGCCCCGCGCCGCTCAGACCCCCCGAGCTACCGATAAACGGGACGCACACACAGCCAACTATTTATTAACAGTTTAACATGGCGTCTTTCTCAGCACCGACTTGTTGGGGGGGGTTTTGTGCGCTTATTTACTTTGCACCTCAGCACAGGAGCCGCTCGTGATCCTTAACACGGCAGGAGGCAGCTCGTCAAGGGCGGAGGGAGATGTTTGTAAAGCAGCGTGGAAACAGCCTCCCGGGGGATCGGCGGGACGGGAAGGGCTTTACTACAGCGCACACACGTGGGGCGGGGGCGGCCGGGCGGAGGGC